GTGGGTATTCTGAAGACAAGCATCTGTATTTCAAAATTTACTGCTACACTGCTGTTCATAAGCATGAAGATTTGTTTTTTGTCCAATAGTTGACAAAGTGTGCAAAATTGCCAGCTATATCACTCTTCGTACACTATACAAGTGATGGCGAACCTTTTAGAGACCGAGTGCCCAAACTGCAACCCAAAATCGACTTATTTATCACAAAGTGCCAACACTGCAATAAAACCCAACAATTGAGTTTTTAGTTTAGAAAAACAACTCACAGCCAGTCCAAGCTTATAACATCATCACCTGGTGCCACTACTCCTTTCCAAGCATACCCATGGCCCCTATGTGTGCTTTTATCTGATGCTCGGCTGCTGGGTGATGCTGGGATGACTTGGCTTGCGTGCCGACATAGAAGGCTCTGTGTGTCCGCTGTGGCACGCATGCCATAGATTCGCCACCACTGCACTATACTTTTGCGCAATAGTTTAATCACAAGTGGAATGTTACTTTTAGGATGGCCACCTATGCACCACAAAAGTGGATCACATTTTGCATAAAGTTTGTATTTGTGTGTGTGCATTTAGAAATAATGCATACATTTAGAAATAATGACTATGATTTAGCAGAAGTGCAATACAGCTCAATGTCGAAGAGAATATTGTGGCCTAGTTCCCATGTTTACTGTGGCTTAAACAAGTTGTGGTGGCTTGTTTTAGCCATGGCACATGCCAGCATGTCCCATGTGTCTAATTTGTCTAATTACCCACCAGGCCAAGATGGCTTGTTCACAGGGAAACAACATTCAAAAACCCAGCAATGTATTGTAGATTATTTGAGAGTTGCTTCATCCTCCAACAAGCCACACTGCCTGGATGGCACAACAAGCAGGACCAGGGCAAGTAATTAAGCAGATGGGTCCTAGCCTGCGCTGTGGCTTAAACAAGTGATCATATGAAATGGGTCATTGACTTCTGTGTCTAGTTAACCTGCTTTTTAATGCTAATTGTTTATGGCAAAATCAGCAGCCCTACTGTAAGTTATTCTTTATCTTTGAGGAATAAGTTAAAGTAGAGTAAGAACCAAATTTGGTTTGGATGGCTCTTCAAACAAAGTGGACTGTCGCTCTATAGTTGTTGTCTTTGGAAGAGATGGGGATCAGTGAAGACTGTATATCTAATCAAATGTGTTATGGCTGCTGGTCAATCATGTATTACTTAGCTCATAGCCCAAGATGACTAATTGATGTTTTGTCAGAGCCATTGCCTAGAGATGTCTCCAAATAGCTGACAATCTCTCTCCAGCTTTTGCAATGGAAATATCAGTCAGAGTTTGGAGAAGGTGAAATCCCACCCCATAAAGGAAGAGAAGAGTCAAAAGCAGTAAAAAAGAAATTTCCATTTGATTTTAATTAAAATTAAACATAAAAATGAGTATTTCTTGCTAGAGTTAGCTAAAATTAAGGTATATCCTGGTGAGGGTGTTGTACATACAGTTCTCAAGGAATCTGATGCAGGCTCCATTCTCTCCTCTGAAGTGTGTACTTGTAAAGCAGTTATTACAAAGGTATCATAATACTCCACTGTTCTTCAGCCTTATATGGATAGAAGGGCTGCTTTGTCAGTGGGAGGCTTTTGATTCAGCAGAGCTATTGCACTTGCTGAAGGTGTGGGGAAATGATATTTTCTCATTCTCCCCTTGCAGTCCTATATGTCCCCTAAAAATCTCTGGGAGGTTAGGAGACCTTCTGGAACAGTGGGGACTTAGGGGCTGCAGAGGGAGGGGGAGCAGACAGAAACAGCTTCTCTCTTTTTTCTGCAGACACAAGCATTTTCAACAGTTTCTGGATCCAACATAGTTCTCACCATTCAGATGTGCGAAGGGCATAACAGTGTTTATTAACAAAAAATCTCCCAAGTGTTGTCATACTGTATAATTTCACAGGTCCTAGTGTGGCCACTGAACATAGTACAAGATGTGAATAGGTGAGGACTACTTTCTTAGACTTTTGCTATCAAAGAATAGCAAGTGCCAATTGCCTATGTATCCGTGGTCCTAAAATCCTTTATAATTGTGTTTGTCTTCATTCTGTCTTGTTGTTGCTGCTATTTTAATATTGTGGTTTTAACTGTTGTAAGCCACCTTGGGTAATACATATGGAATGTATGGCTATGCAAGCATGAAAGCTTTATGTAAATGTAATTTATGCAGCTATAAAACAGTTATTTTCACATCATTTTTGTGTAGGCACATCATAATTAGGCACTCATGGCTATGTACAAGTCTTTTGAAAAAATAGATTATTTTAAGTGACTAATGATAGACTGAATCTTATTCACCTACTTTTGGATTTTTATGAAACACCAAATGCACTAAGATCCTGGTAAATTGGGAATTGTGATATAACACTATGACCAGAGTATGAAACTGGATGCCATGGTATATCCAGAAGGCAGTGGGCTGGTTCATATAATCAGTAGTCAGCAAAGTAGTTTAAATGGCTTGTGACATATGACAACCACCACTGTAAATATTCAGCTGTGCTGTGTGGTTACTGTGGCTTATCATGTTGTGCAAATCCAAGTAGGATGGCTTGTTATCATGGGTGAAAGCCACGCCAGAAGCTAAGAACAGCCCATGGATTCTGGGTGATTGGCTAGTCATGGTAACAAACCACTCTGTGTGGGTTTGCGTGTGACACAATAAGCTGCACCCACTGCAGCTTCAATATTCACAATGGTGGCCAGCATGCACCACAAGCCACCCTGGTTTATTTAAGCTATGCTTCCAAATGCCAAACATGTGAACCTGATCAGAGACACAACTAAAGGGTTAATCAGGCTGGTTCATTTTCTAGAAAGCTTTAAGTAAAGAACAGAATTAAGTTATCGCCTCCTGAGTCTTTCTGTCTAAAGCCCAGAACCTTGGAAGACTTGGTAAAAAGCTCAGGAGTTAGTAATTAAAATGCTAATCCTTTTTTTTTTTAAATAAAAAAGCCAGTTTATCTGAAGGCTATAGTTAGAAGGAGATTGAGTATGCTGTTAATAATCACATACTAGTCATGGTATAGAAAAACAACAACAACACACAGACAAAAATGTAGCCTGGAAATGGGACTGTATCACTTTAAATGAACGTAGTCAGTATTTCTTGGTAAAGATGCACAGTGAAATTAATGAAGCATGGAATAGAATGATAGCTGGGAAAGAATTGCAAACAGTCTGTATATTCTGAGACATGAAAGTCTATACTGTTATTTTTGTGACTGCCTGTCATTTGTTTGTTTATGGATTTATATTCAACCCTTGAAATGCTTACACCCTACTCAGGGTTGCTCATAATGCTTAAGTTCAATTATGCAGTAAAATTGGTAACACACCATAAAAACAAAAATAGTATGGTAAAACGGAGACAGATCAGGCAGATGGCACAGACATTGGACAGGATGTCAGAACATATAGATACAGGCATATATACCATCTGGAGAAACATGACAAGAAAGGTGACCAACTGGATCTCATCAGGCAAATAATTCCATTGTTAGGGTACAATTGCTGAGAAGGCCTTTATTCTTGTCTCCATAGCCAGACACAGAGAAGGGCTTATCCCCAAGATCTGAAGCCATTGGCAGGCTGGTACCAGAAGAGACTGCCCCAAGATACCTTAAGCTCAAGTTTTTTAGGACTTTAATCATCAGAACATTGAATTCCAGAGATAAATTCATTAAGATAAAATTATAGCAGTAAGATTGCATTAGACTCATTACTGTCTTCTTACTGAGCCCTGATAAAGTGGTGAATAAAAGTGCAACCAGGATGGGCCCCAAAATGTGAGTTTAGAGACATTCAAGGGTTCTGGCATGCTCACAGAAATCTTTTTCTTAGAACAAAATTCCCTCTCTCTCCCCTACATTTCACAAACTGCATTTGAATACCTCATTTGCAAGTTTATTTCCCCTGAGGTCTGGTGGAACTGCAATTCAAGAAACAAAGCCCACCTGGGCAAAGGAAACTATTTGTGTAGATCTTTGCATGCTGACCAAAAGAAAAGGCTCATAGTTCACTAGTAGGGAACATAACAATATTATAGTAAAACAGAGACAGGTTCAGTCTGTAGTATCTCCAGTATAGATTTGGGAAAGACTCCTATCTGAAAGTCTGGAGTCAGCCTCTGCCACAGAATACACAGTACCAAAATAGAGGGACCAATGGCCTAACACTGTACAATGCAGCTTTCTGTGCTCCTTTGCTTCCTACTTGTTAGGTATAATTAAAACCTCTTCACACAGACTCCACAACTGTTGTTACCTTTGTTGTTTTCAAGCAGTCTAAGTATCTGTCTTGTCTACTTTTCATCACATCTTGCAATCAGCACACTCTTTCAAACCATATTTATGCATTTATGCATCAAAGGTGTGAGCTGTAGCATTCTCTTAAATCTGGGCTTGCCAAGCTGGTATGCCTGCAGGTACCTCTCTTGGCACTCACCAGGCTCCATAACTTACTTTTTTTAAACTTGGAGTTTAAAGAGCTCCATTTCTAGCTGGATTCAAAAGGGTGCTTTTGCATCCTGCTCATCTCTAACTTGCATTTAGGTTATAGGCCAAGAGCCTTTTTTTAGCCTTCCCAGTTTGCCTTCTGGGAAATGAATATTTGTGACTGGTCATGCCTTCAGCGCAGCCATTTTGTGAGATTGCCCATTACACACGCTACCTTCTAAATGTGCCCATAAAGCAGAAAGTTTGGAGACGCCTCAAGCTAAACAAATATGCTCCTGCGATGCAGTGTGCCATCTTCACCTTGTGGCAAATCAAATAACCATGGTAGTTCAAAAAGCTGTATATCTGGTGAGAATACAATCTTTGCATTTGCTTGTTATGCTTGACTCAAACAAATTGGTTGAAAGCACAGCTGAAAGTGCAATACCTTCTGTTCAGTGAGGCATCCCTAATGAGAGATAAATGGAAATATCATCCCTGTCATGTCTCATTGTCCATCTGTTTCTTTTTCTAGGAGGTGATTTCCTCTCCTTTTTAAGAAAGAAAAAGGATGAGCTGAAAACCAAACAGTTAGTGAAATTTTCATTAGACGTTGCTGCTGGGATGGCCTATCTTGAATCCAAAAACTGTATACACAGGTAAGATCAGTTCAGATTTTCTGCACTACAGATTTGATTACCTGAGCATCTAGACAAGTGGATGATACTGAAAATGCAAAATAAGCGAACAGTTGAAAAGTAACCCCAGCTGTATATCATTTTCAAAACAGTATCTTTAACAGCCATCATGGTTTGCTTCATTCATTCATTCATTCATTCATTTATTTATTTAAAGCATTTTTATGCCGCCCCCTTTGCAACAAGCCTTGGGGCGGCTTACAAAGCAAATAAACAAATGTTGAACAAACTTTAAAAATCCGGATACATCTCAGCAGAGCTATAAAAGCCAATAAATAAAAACAGCAAGTAACAGTTAAAATATTGTTTAAATAAAAAGGTCTTGGCCTGGTGCCAAAAAACAAATAACAACAGCGCCAGGCGGACCTCTCTGGGGGGTGCATTCCATAGGTTACTGTTACTCAGCTGTATTAGAATAAGGCCATATTAGTGTATCACACTAAACCATGATTTAGTATAGGGCATTGAACCACAGGACTGAACTGCTTTGGAGAAGCTCTGGGTTCTATATTGCAGAGTGGTAAGGCTGAAGGCAAAAGAGGGCAGGGGCAAAGGCAGAGGTGCAGAACGAAACTGCCTACATATGTTAGCTTTACGTTCTCACTGCCAGTAACTAAGACTGGAGTAATTAAGACTGCCGGTAACTAAGACTCAGAGAGGCATTGGAACCATTTAGAATGGGGAGAAAAGCACAAAAGCTAGGAAACCACCAGAAGATCACTAGTCAGGGGAAAGTGTGAGGCCAGGGAATGTGGGGAATCCCCAGGAGACCAGATTGTTACCCCAGGCAGGCTGGATTTGACCTGCACCTGAGGTTTTGCACCCCTTCCTTCCCAATCTGGTGACCTCCAAGGGTGTTGGCAAAGAGTTTCTAACATTCCCATATAGTATGGCCAATGATCATGCTGGCTGGCAATCTTGGAAGTTGCAGTCTTGCACATCTGAATGGTGCACATCCGAAAGCTATACTAAACCCTGGTTCAGCATGGCTTGCCGGAATGAGCCCCCATGAGCCCCAGACACACTCCCCTTTCCCATTCCTCCTCCTCCGTGGGTGTATCATGTTTGGAAGCTTCCAGGTTTTGTAAATTGAAGCTTGCCATGTTGTTGAAAACAATTGTTAGTTTAAAACAATAAATCTTCATTCTCTGTGTGTACTTACATCAAAGAATTTTATAGGCAAAAAGCCACTCCAACACATCTGTACATGCAGAAATACTAAAGTATAAAGAACATCTTTAGGAAACTGTTTAAGATGCTCCTAACTTTGACTCAGCTTAAATGACCCTGATAAAGAATTAGTAGTTAGTAATGGGAATAAGTGTCCCCTTCTGAAGTAATAAATAATGCTTCCTTAGTTTGGTTTGTGCCATTTTTATCTAGACTGAAGACACTTGAAACTGAGTGTTCATGTTCCCTGAAATAGATGCAACTGACATTTTGGAAAATGTTTTTAAAAGCATGAAAGTTTTGCTGAAGTCACTTCCTTTTACACTGTTCTCTTGAACCTTGAGATATGTTTTGTAATGCAATCTGTGAAAGGCTCATGTAGGAGCATTAACTACTATGGGTACCTAGGTCATGCAGCTGCTGGTGCATTTATCAGTCTCATTTGGGGCACTACAAGAAGAAAGTTTAACAAGTTACAAGGGGTTTGGATAGCATACTGTTTGTGATGGTATAAAAAATATCAGTGCTGACAGGTGGAAAATACATCTGCATAATCCACTCCAAGAGCAGTTTTGAAGATTTTTTTTATTAAAAAAACACAACAACTTTTTAGTTGAGAACTTCAGGTTCACTGACAACTCTGAATCTTTCAGAATAGCTGAAGACTGAAATATTGGAATAGGCATCCATGTTAAGGTATCTCTTTAGAGTGCTGATTACCTAGATACCCTGTTTACATTTGTCCAACATAGAGGTAATGTCAAGCATGTTGTTTGGCTTGCTTAATTTCCCCAAAGGCAGAATGCCTCCAGGTTTCTCTCACTAGCAGACTTCCTCTAAATGCGCATCCAAACCCACACATAAGCCTTCAAGACATAACTGGCATGCAGCAGAGTTCATGGAAGAATCCACAGTGCTCTTGGGATTTTTTTTTATTTGAGCTAATATGTTTTCAAGCTGTCTCCTGTGCTTTGAAGTGCATTAAACAGAGTGCTGCTTTCACAATAGTGTCTTCCACCAGGGGTCATAGGCAGGTGAATATTATCTTGTTTCATTTCATTTGTTATGGGTCCATGGTTATTTTTCACATTGACTTTGTAGTATTGTAGGCTTTTTATGCCACGGGGGAAAGCTGCATCTATAAGTTGCCAAACACGACTCATTTTTAGCGTGCAGTTCAACATAACTTTGGAGAAAATAAGTTGGTATTACCTTTCAGTAAGTTAAGCATTTTGCTTAGTCTATGACTTAGTCTCCTGTCCTTGCTCTTACTTTCTCCCTCTCTGCTTATTTATGTAAATATCTTGATGCAGAGTGGGTTATTGTTGTTGTTAATACAGTTCCAGTAGTGCTTAGTTCCCCATCATTTAAGACAGTGAGGGAGCAGAATAGCATCTGATCATTAATGAGCAATTTTAATTCTCTGGAGTGAAATTTTCTCTTCCTTGTCTTCCCCTTCTCTTTCTTTCCCGCCTGAATATGGAAAATCATTTCTTATATAAATTACATGAGCAGGCAGATTTGCTATTATCATATCTTCCATTTGAGTCATTAAAAACCCTTTGGATGCAGAAAGCCATAATGCAGATCTATGGCTGGATGAAAATACGTTTGGTACATAAATACATTTTATGAAGGTTTTACTCTGCATCATGCATTATGTAGCAATGTGAATCATTAAATCATACTTCATTCTCCAAAATAAGTGCAATAATATAAAAAGAATGAAATGTGGTTTTTATTAACAATTCTCATATTGTCAAAGTCAGATTGTTAAAATGAATTCAGAGACGTTACATTTAAGTAGAAGCAAACTCTTGGATTTAATCCCAGTCCTCTTGGTGCTGCCATGATCAGACCTGATTTCATGGCATGTCCAATAACCCTTCAGCCAGTGGAACAGCTGTGCGGGAAGATCGATTCTCCTTCCTCCTCTGCAGCCCTCCCAAATTTGCAGTTGAGGGCTGGCAAGAAGCTTTCTGGGGGCTGTAGTGGGCAGGAAGCACCTTTTGCATCAACCAAACTCTGCTCATGACACATTGGTTCCACCCCTATCTACTGCTGGCCTCCATGTTTGTCAAAATTCACGGAATTGCTTATCTCGTCTTCCCAGCTTTAATAGTTCTTCTTTTACTTGACCTACTTAAGGCATAAAATCTGCTGGACTGTTTCTTTTTATCACCTGCTTTTCACTGTGAAGTGTTCCTCTATAAAATTAAATGTAAGCTTCAGTTTTTCTCTCCTTCCAGTGTATGGCAGTATGCACCTCAGTCATCCTTGAGCACCATTTATATGGCTACAGGGGAAGGTCACTTTTGAGTTGTGGCTGCTAAAGCAGATCCATCGGTTCAGGCTGCCAGAGAAAAGAACGACACTGAATTGATTAGACATAAACTTTCCCCTCAGACTAGTTTGTTTTAAAAGGGTGGTTGTTTATGCCTTTTATAAATAATGGACTTGGTATGCATTCTGTATTCATGGCAAGGTCTTAGATCGTAGGCTGACACCATATTTCAAGATAATTGGTACTGATGTGGTATGATTACTTATATACAAAATAATTACATTGCATTTTGCCTTTAGGATGATACTTAGAATAAAGGCAAGTACACAGTTCAAGTAAAGGTGAATGCTTGCCTAAGCATATTATTTTCTTTTATTCTTGTTCAAACTGTTTTTCAGAAGGAGACTAAAATGGGCCTGAATAATAAGATATATTTCTATATATAATCATGTTTTAAAGGTCAAGGAACAGGAGATGGATACAGTTTCTAGGTGTGTGATAAAAGATTTACTTGCTTTGCATTATTATAAATGTCACAGCTCATGGAAGGGAATCTTTTATGAGACATTATGTCTAGACTCTTCGATTTCATAAATCTGTTATTTTATTTTTTAAATTAGCACTCTTTGTTCCTACTCACATACTTTCATTCCCAACACAGCGTTGCAACATATTTTTTCTTTCAAGGTAAGTGACAAAGGGGTAGTAGCGATTTAGTTATATCACTTCTCACCTCACTGTTTCCAGTTGTGGTCCAAGTATGCCCAAATAATTGGCTACCCAGTTTTACCAGGCACACCTCAGAGGTACCATCTTAAGCTATTTCAGAATGGAACTTGTCTTTTCCACTGAAAGCAGACACCATCCTGCAGGGTGATGCTGCTCTGATTTTGTCAGATAGAAGCAGACACAGACATCTGTTAAGCTGATACGCAGGGTTACTTTAGGCCTTTCTAGTAATTTACACTTTCAGCACAGGGCTTTCAATACTACACAGCTCTGCTTAAGAAGCAAGATACTGTCTTTCTAAAAGATTGCCTGAACAATTAAGGCACTCACCTTTACAGTCTAAAGATGTTTACTTCAAGTGGAGGAGAACTAGGATGAAGCTGGGTAGAACAAAGAGCTCTGTCTGTGTATCCACACAGACACAGAGCAGGACTAGCATGTGCATGGCTGGCTGTACAAGCAGCCAAATGCTGTGATACCACCAAGACAGGGGCTGAACAATATGTTGGCAAAATTGTAATCCAGCTGTTGAGGGAGACTGCTTCTTCATGGTTTCTGTGCGTCACACATACGGGCGTTGAGCCTGCACAGAGCCTGTTGTCAGGAATCTTCCGTAGTTAAGTGTTCGACTGGGTGGGAGCCTCTCCCCTTCCTGTTAAGAAGAAGCCAGCACATGTCAGACTGTGCTCCTGTACACCTCCAATTGCCGTCTCGCCAGTGGCCAAGCTAGTCTAAGTGTTTTCTACCCTGAGGCCTCTTCAGCAATCTCACTTTACAG